CTTTGTAGGACCAACCTGCTGGCAGTTAACAGGTTAGAACGTCAAACTGTAAGAAGTTACTCTTGTGTTCACAGGTTCTTTATTCAAAAAATTGTATAAATAACAATATTTATAGGGAAGTACTCAGCGGACGCATACTACGGAAATTAATAAATTCATTGAATAACGCTATTTTGATAATTCTTGCTCGATAAATTCATACGTCAGTTAGCTAAACTGAAGGTGACCTAGGTATCAGAAATCAAAGTATTATTATAATTGTTTCCTCTAGTTCCCGGAGGAACACAAGGCTACAGCCGTACGTCTCCATTGCGTTCGTTTCTCTGATAAAGTTTTCATCACCTGGCTCATCACCACATCTGTCCACATGCCTCATCATCTCCTCTTTGCATCACCTCCTCCACTCCATGTCAACCTCGCACTGACGACCAACTGACTCGCCGCTTCCCATTCAGTCGTGTTTCACTTGAGCGATTGCTTGGAGTGTGTTGGATGTCACTTGATGACAGTTTGTTTTCTCAGAGTATGGCCACTCTGATATACCTCAATTTCTTCCTGCATATTTGTTGCACAATTGGTTTCTCCTTGATTGGTTCGTTCATTGTCAGAGATCCCTGTTGCTGATTTTTTCCGGCCACCTGATCTTGAGTATTCAGCATGGACAGCCTTTGATGAAGGTGTGTAGTTTGTTCGAAGTTCCAATCGTGATGTGACACCAAGTTTCTGATCCTTATGGAGGCATTGACTTCACATTGGAGTTGAAAATCCGGATCTTATATTTCATGTCGAGTACTGTTGATCTCCATGCAGAATTGACAGTAATTGAAAGCTTGCCTTGCTTTCCCAATCCTCACTTTAATATCCTCATCATTTTAGTGCGCCTGTAGTTGCAGCGATGCTTCCCAGGTAGGTAGGTAGGTGAAGGAGATTGCTTCTCCCAGATTCCCTCCATTTATCTTGACTGTTGTCTTTTTGTCGCTGTTGGCCATAAGTCTTCATCACCTCTGTTTTCTCTTTGTTCAACTGAAGCCCCATCTTTGATGAAACTTCTGCCAGCTTACTGCTTTGGCAAATAAGCTCTGAATCAATCTTCTGTCGTATTTTTGTAGTTAGCTTCATTTTACCTTTGCGTTTGGAACAGAACATATAGCTTCAAGCTTTTGAATTTTCATAGGGTGACTTCTCGAGTACCAAGCCCAGTCTATAGTCATTTTTAGGCTTGCTGTCCATTAGTGAACTAGAGGAAGTTTAGCAATGGACTGACTGGTGGGAACATCACCAGTAAAACACCGGAGTACAAATTCACATAATAATACACCTATCGGATCATTTTACACTGGTTTCCAGGAGAACTGAATACTCCCCACCATCAGCCTTCTGCAACGCCAGACGTGCATATGATATCAACAATCCATGTGTCCTCTTCTCCAGTAGACCAGTATTTAGGTTCAGTCTTTGACAAAAAGATGTTCAAAACACTGGCAAGGCTGCCACTGCTTGTAGAAATTCAAAATCGTCACTAATTTTTGCCAGTAAACCAAATCTTAGAAAAGATTATTCTCGAATGAAAGAAAAAATCAAGGCTTATAGAATGAAGATGGATACAGAAAAAAGAAAGCTGTTTTTTCACCAAATGTCTTACTCATCTGATTTAAAATCTGTTAATATTTACGATTTGAACTAGTGCATACAGACTACTTATGAGTTTTTTAAGTAGACCAACTCACCATGAATAGTAATATTTTTTCCCTTCACGTTCCCCAGTGGAACATAGGGCTTCAAGCTAGTGGCTTGAAGTTTCTATAGCAGTGTTTATTTTTACAGGATGGGGTTGCTAGCCTCATGCCCAACCTTCCCTCTTTGCCAGTTCTATTACTAGCTTAGCGAGGTAAAGGAGTGCGTCGGTCGGGGATCGAACCCCGGACCATGTGCATGGTCGCTTTGTATAGTTCACCTTAGATCTGAATAAAGCAAGAACAACAGTGACTTGTGCAGAATAAGATGCTACCATCATTCCTTATTTCGTTGGCTTCTCATCAGCTACTGCTTACAGCCTAGATAAATTATTATTAAGTTCACGTACAGAAAAGTTTTAACATACTTGCAGATTTTTTTCATGATGTCAGTTCCAGAATTAGTGAACAGTGCTCAGAAAATTACGCTTATATAGTTTCTACACAGGCAGTTCAAGTTTAAACAAAATAAATGTATGCACACAATGGCAAAGGAGTTACGCAATAAAGATGAGAGATGCGTAAGATGCTGAGTGACCAATAAATTAGGCAACAATGTAATGACTTCAACTCAAATCAAAGAAACAAGAGACAAGCAAAATTACGCTGTGTCAAAGGAGGTTGAGGTTATAGTCAAAGATTACGTAATCAGATGGAGAGAATAAAGACATCCAGTTACCATGACAAGGAAGGACTAATAACTGCTTCTTTCTGAACAAATGAATCTGGTTTCAAGCGTTCGATAGAAATTGCTTCAGCAAACTTGAGGAGAATGGAGCTCCTTCGTCTATTGACAATTTTAAAGGATTTCACGATATCCACCTCATGACCCGTATCGAGGAGATGCCTGGTAATAGCGCTATTATAAGAGATTGTTCCCTCGAGACTTAGGCTTTTCGACACATGGAACTTTGACCCTTTGTGTATGAGATTTCCTTCTTATCGGTTGATAGATTTCGTCTATCTCGATGTGTTTATTGATTGATGATTCGCTGGAATACCAGTCAGCCTTCTTAAACTTCTCTGGCATTCTTTATGTTTCCTCTGTCTAATATTTGAACGCATGTTGTCCCAGTCGGATTGATCTCCGTAGTAGTGATATTGTAACGACAGAAGGCAAGAGTCAGGCAACAGATCATTTATTAAGGAAATCAACGCATATTTATATATTTTCATGTACATTAGTATGGATATTTAAACAAACAAACACAGTCTTCCGGTTGGTTGTTTCTCACGTAAAGTTAATCTTTCATCTATTTGTGACTGTTTCTTGAATGTCAAATCCTCTATATGTTAACTGCATCCGCCTACGCAAAGTCTGCTGTGGTCAGTTTTGAATCAGTCTTTGTTCACATCTTCTCACGACAAATCTTGGGAACGTAAATATTGACGTAAATTACTGTCTACCAATTTGGCTAGTAGACAGCTCTCACCAGAATATGAGGGAGTGGATGTCATGTCTTTTGACGGCTGGTGAGTTTATGATCATGGATACGAAAACGAAGGGGATGTCCACTTTGGCCAATGTAGTGTTTTTCACAGTTGAAGAAATGATTCAATGTTCACCAATACTGACATTAACCTTATTTAAAATATCAGTTGTTTGGCTTATTATCCACAAATTCCTGTCAGTCGAGAATTATGCAATCTTAATGATATTGACTTAAGTTGTAACAGCAGAAGGCAAGACACAGAATCCAAAGTATATTTTCAAGTAACCGAACCGCTGTTTATATCTGTACAGTTTATATTTTATAACCAATCACTGAGCTTTTGATTTTGCTTTACATTAAGTGACATAAAATAGAATTTTCAGATGCACATAGTATTCTGTTGCCAATGCGCTATTGACTCTAGAAGATCTGAATTTCGCAGATGATATATATGTAATGTCACATAAACTCGAAGACTTGCAACCTAAAACCAACAAACTGGCTAAAGAGGCAGGCAACGAAGACAGGACTGCAGGTGAACGGAGGTGACGAACATAACCAACCAACAGCAAAAGCAACAACAACCAGCACCAATCACCTCCAAAGGGAGAGATTTAACAGAGGTTACCTCCTTCACTTATCTAGGCAGCATAGTTTCGACTACAGGCACACGGCACAGATGAAGATGTCAAAGCTAGCCAGAATCGACAAGGCAGGATAAGCCTTCATCCAACTGAAACCAATTTGGATATCTTTTGCACTCAACATAAGGAACAACATCCGCATTTTCAACACCCATGTCATGTCGATCCTACTATACGGGTTAGAAACTTGCACTGTGTGTTACAAAAAGAATTTCCAACAAGTTTCAAAGATTTACTAACAGCCGCCTTCTCTCCATACTAAAGATCAAATGGCCAGAAAAATTTAGTAACAAGTAACTATGACGTTGAAAAAAAAAACCAACCAAGAGTCGATTGCTCAGCAAATATGTAAGAGAAAATGGAGATGGATCAGGCATACATTGAGGAGGCCACCGAATGACATCGCACGCCAGGCCATCGCTCCAGTGGAATCTAATGGGAAGAGATGGGTGGGTCGTCGGCGCAAGGGTGACATGGAGGACGTCGTGTGAAGAAGAGGTGAGAAATTTTGGTCAATCGTGGACCCAGCTGAAGAGGATGTCAGAAAATAGAAGAAAGTGGAGATGTGTTGTTGAAGCTAGCCATATGTTTCATTCGGAACCCAAGGGAACAATAATAATAATTATGCACTACTAAACTGTGGGAATAGTATTCAGACGTTAACACCAACAAATACAACGATTCTTACTGTTTTTAATGTGGTTGCGTTCTCTGAGCTGGATGCTTTATTTGCGAAGCTTTCATTGTCCTACTAGACAACATCTTCAGCGCATACTTCGATTTGAAGTGAGCTCTCAGATTTCGCCACGAGTTTATTACTCATCTCTTCTGGTGGGTGACCTTGAGAGTAACTCTTTGGTTGTTTTTGTGTGTTTTCACACCCTGTGGGCTACCTTTATTGGTTCTGATTGTTTCCTTGACCTGAAGGTTGACCCTTTGTGTGTGAGATATTCTTCTTATAGATTGGTAAATTTCGTCTATCTCGATATGTCTATTGATTGCCGATTCACTTGAATACCAGGCAGATTTCTAAAAATTCTCTAGCATTCTTGATGTTTCCCCTGTCTAATATTTTGCGTCTGTGGTTCTCTGTATGTATGAGTATTCAACACCTTTGATATTGAGCAGAACAATTACTTGTAACATACTCATTTGATTCTTTTCTCTTTTTGCTTATTTTATTTCATTAGATAAAATCGATATATGTTCTATTCATCGAGGATATTTATGTACTAATGGACATTGTATCCCAACTGGTCGAGATTTCTTTTGTGAATGTAATCCTGGTTTCACACTGTCATATGATCGTCGAAGGTGTATAAGTAAGTTCAAAAGATATAAATATATATGGGCGAGAATGTCTACAGAATGTCATCGTCTTCCTCGACAGGCGATGCTAGCTGACGTAGGGTCAGGCTGGCGAAGAGCTAGCGGCGGTCAAACTAAAACATGGCACAAGTCAATGAAATCCACAACAGTTAGCTTAAGCCAACCACGTAGGAAGGTGTATACTTGCTGACTGGTTGGGGTCCTCGCGACGGTAAACACCAATGAAGGTTGGAGACAGTCGCTGACATTGATCAAAATCGTTCTCGATGATGGCTGGCGCAGATGCATCCACTCCTAGTGACTTATAATTTCCAATGAAACTATATTGTTCCTTTTGTCTCATATCCCAGTCTACTGTCTCTATTTTGCATTTCTTCTACGTTCTTCTCTTGCTTTTTGTGCTACAAGGAGTGGAGTATGGCGACTTGAACTGCTGCATATTGATGCAAAGTTCTATGTCGAAAGCAGACAGACAGATATTTCTGAGGTAAATTTAGAATATCAGACTACTACCTATGCAACGGGTAATGATGAGGCGATAACATCAGTATCCGAGTTTTAATTAGTTTAGAATTAGTGACCTTTGAAGGCTATCTCAGATACTCTTGAAGAGCAGCTAGTAGGATGATGAACGAAGATTAGTGTTGAAACAATTAGTTCCTTTGATAAATTTGAATAAGGCATTCAGAAGACAAATTTCGCTAGATGATATCGTCAATTCGTAGTTTGTTTACAACCGTTTTACAACTAGGAAAATGGTTCACAATAATAAAATAAAAAATAGCGCATGACACTTACTCAGTTATATGAAACAAAAGTACATACTATACTATTGACCAATCATATTTAATTAGGTCAAGTATACTCGCTGTGGTAGACGAAGGTTGAAGTCTATTGTTTTTGTACACATAGTTTAGGCTGTTTGTGATTAAAAGTCAATCTGAACGAAGAATATTCTTTTCAATAATTTCTCTTCAAGTTCTTACAATTATAAAATATAATATTTGTTGTCGTTACAATAAGGCCAGTTATGCGGCAGATACATTTTTTAACGTAGAATAACAGATTAGTTATGGGGGTGTCAAAATAAATAGTCGTATTTGTGTGACAAACGTGCTAGGCTGAATTCGATTACAAAATATTGTAAAACGGGAGACAATGGTGATTAATCATAATAGATTTGTAGAGTGTGGGGTAGGAAAATTGACAAGTCAGTTCAAGGTTACAAAAGGTGTCAGGTGAGTGGCTAGTACAAAGTGGTCTGTGTTAAACAGGAGATAGTAAGACTGCAATTGGAGGTTCATAATGAGATAACGAATATGTGAAATGAAACAGGTGGAGGCATATATTGAGAAAAGAGATAATATCACTAATAATAAGTCCGGATAGTATAAACGAAAAAAAAATTCGATAGTATTGAGAGAATGTTTGCATGAAGGGGATAAATTATGACGAATAATAATAATAATGGTGATTAATCCCCAAAAGTGCTTCCATCACCTTCAGTAACCAACCTTGAATTAGAGTTATGTGATGAAATAATTGTGAAGCAGTCATTAATATTGATTTTGTGACATGACATTAATAAGTGTTTTGCAATAGATGATGCTGGATTTCTATTAAGATTAATTGCGTTGGGATTTTCTATATGATTTAGTAATCATATTGGAACATGTTCTTTTCGACAACCACACTGGAACATTCTATTGGTTGTACCTATATAAGTGTGTGCCACCACAACTGCAGGTGAACTTGTAGATACACTTCGAATTAGAGTCCACAGAATATCGTCCTTTAATCATAGGTACAGGGATCGAAAATGCCCGAGATGTGAGGGGAAGAGATGCGAAGTAGAACGTACACTCGATGGATGACCGAAGTCTTTGAACTGTCAACTGCATTAGATCACCCTTGAATGGTAGGTTAATAAAGATAGATAGCTTTCTTTGATACAGAAGCTGTCGAAAAGAACATGTTCCAAAATGGTTATAGAGACACATAGAAAATTCCAATGCAATTATTAATCTGAATAGAAATCCAGCATCATCAATTGCAAAGCACTTAATAGTGTCAGGTCACAAAATCAACATTAATGACTGTTTCGTAATTATTTCATCTCATAACTCTAATTCAAGGTTGGTTATTAAAGGTGATGGAAGAAGCACTTTGGATTAATCATCACATACAGCCTAAACTATGTGTACAAAAAACAACACAATAGACTTCAACCTTCGTCTACCACAGCGAGTATACTTGACCTAATTAAATATGATTGGTCATCAGCATAGTATGTACTTTTGTTTTATATAAGTGAGTAATTGCCATGCGTTTTATTATTGTGAACCTCGCTGCTAGTTGTAAAGCGGCTATAAAGAAACTACGAAATGACGAATAAATAATTTTTGGTTTGTCTTTTTTTTGCTTGTTTGTTTCTTGACTGTATAATATTTTCTCCCCCTCTCCACTTATTATATCTCTACCTCTTATTACCAATGTTGTTAACTTGACAGTCGTTCAATTTTAATTTTACTTGAGCTCTACTCAACCCTGCCAAACATATTACGTCACTCAATCTGCTTATTTAACCTTATTTTAGTTTCTAAACCATTAGCGAAATGTGTTATGTTTTTACGAGATGATCACGGATTGATATCAGTTAGAGAACCATTGAAAACAAGCAGGGAGTACTGGGCAGCCAGCTGTTCCATCAGCCTGGTTTGGAAATAATCAGCAGTACGTACCCACTGCCAGGGTTCGAACCCAGGACGTTCCGGTTACAAAACCATCTAGCTAGCTCGTATACCATTCAGCCACTGGGATCCGATTTAATGGCCAGTGCATAGATTCTAACTTCTACCAATTCGTGATTTAGCACGACCCTAACCAATGGTTCTCTAACTGATATCAATCCGTGATCAACTCGTAAAAGCATAACTAACTGTTAGAAACCAAAACTATAGAAAATTAATCTGATACTCGCTAGTAACTTGCTACAGGATGGAGTGACCAGTGAGGTCCATACAGATGTCACGTAAGAGGATGGGTGTCCCACCGACGACACTGGTTGGTGACAGTTGCGCCAAATGCATCACGAATTGGTAGAAGTCAGAATCCATGCGTTTGCCATTGAATCGGGTTAGATCCCAGTGGCTGAATGGTATATGAGCTAGCTTGCCTTGTAACCGAGAGGTACTGGGTTTGACCAATGACAATGGGTGCGTACTGCTGATGATTGCCAAACTAGGCTGATGGAACAACTGGCTGTCCAGTACTTTCCGCTTGTTTTCAATGGTTCTCTAACTGATATCAATCCGTGATCAACTCGTAAAAACGTAACTAACCCTAACAAACCGAAACTATAGAAATCTGTTATCTAAAATTTATAGTTCTAATGACAGATCTTTAGAAATACATTCATTTTGTTGCTAAGATAATTTACTATGTATGTATGCGATTTTAGAGCTTGAGAATGATATCGCCGCCGAAAAGAGGAGTAACCCCTCGCTGAACGCCTTTTCTTTTTCTTAATTAGGAGTCAAGGTATGAGTAATATAATAAAGCCAACAGGTAACCATCACTATTCAATTTCGAAATGGATTTTTCTATAGTTATTTACACAAGTCAATATATTAGAGGATTCCAATCGTGAATAACTGTGAAAAGTCCTTTCAAGTGACGCTACCTTAAGGTACTGCATTGATAATGACTTGCAGTGGAATTCAAGAAGTACGTTTCATCCTATTTGGAACCAATTAGCTGAATGACCGGGTGAGACTCGAGCCCAATAACCATCCTTTCAAAAGCCAAAAGCGTCATCCATCAAGCAGCTGAGACATTAGAGCCACATTATATCAGTAGAGGTTGCATGCATATTCAGCTAGCGAGTTTCAAATAGGACGAAATGAACATCCTAAATCCCATTGCTAGCCACCATTAATCGATAAACACCACAATTCTTTTATGAGACACTAGTAACTAGTGTGATTATGTGTCTGGTCCTATCTTTGGTGTAGACTGAATTTTATCAATCGGCTTTACAATGTGACTACCATGCTACTGGGTGATGCGCCAACTAGCATGAAACCAAGGTCAAGCGAGGCTTCCTGCCGACTGCCTCCAACCGCCTAATATCATCAAATCAATGTGTATCGTGATGGTGAACTACCTAGAATGATAGCCACATTGCAAACCTGACTAATAGAATTCAAACTACACCGAAGATATGACTAGACACATCACACTAGTCACTATTGTCCAGTCAAAGTATCCAATACAGTTAGACCTACAGGAGGTCAGTCGCGAGACCGAATAGCTGGCTCAGTGGTAACGTCTCTGACTGCAGAATTCACTGGCTGACGCGGGTTTGAATCTCAGAAGGGACATGAGTCCCCTCAATGTGGTTGCGGACATGCCTTGCTAACTGTTGAGTGCCAACTTGCATGACACCTAGATCCAGACAAGGCTACCTGTAGTGGATTGCCTCCAATCACCGAATAACACCACAATTCGTTAGCATTAAATGCACTTCGATAAGAAAGCTATCTCGTTCACATTTAGAAGTGTAATTTCAGAATTCCACTACAGCGTAAGCAGCTATAAAATAAAATATACAAACAACTGAGAGTTTTAATTCTAGTTTCCATTGATTTGAAAAATTGTTTTTAAAACGTTTTGCAAATTTTTCACACATTTAATTAACCATTCCTTCTCTAACCCAACCCACTTTTCTTTATCTTGTCCTGAATTAAAGATAAATGTGAAGAATTAGGACCAAGTGTATGCCCAAATGGTTATTGTATCGCTTTATCCAATGGGGATTACGAATGTCAATGTGATATTGGCTATCAAAGTACATCAGATCGTAAAAAGTGTATTCTACCAATGGATGAATGTAAGTGAATATTATTCTACACTGATCATGCTATCTAGTTTGACGATCAGAATGTTCTCTGTTGAAAGCTTTTTTATATTCCTTTACGTTCCCAGTGGAACATAGGATGCCTTCAAGCTAAAGGCTTGAGGGTTCTGTAATGGTGGTGTTAAATTTTTACGCGATAGGGTTGCCAGCGCCTCATGACCAGCCCAACCTTCTCTCTTTACCAGTCTTATTACTGCCTTAGCTAGGTGGAGGAGTGCGTTCGTGGCCGGGGATCGAGGCCCGAACCACTTGAGGTGTGGTTGGCAAGCATTCTACCGCTGTGCCATCGATGCACTCTGTTGAAAGTAATTTAATTAAAATATCCATTGAAAAGTCGAAGAAATTTGTCCTGACTAAATTCAGCATGCTATTTTCAACAGTCCTATTCATAGAGATCATAGATTTTACATGAATATCGGCAGAAGTCAAGATTCACGCGTCACTGAATTCCAACCCAGGGGCTGGATGGTGATAACCAGTTTGGTTTTGTCACTTAAAGATGCTGCGTTCGACCTATAATGGGATCATAAGTACTTACTGCTGAAGAGTTGTGAGCCAGGATGAAACGGGTGTTCAGTTCTCCTTGGCCTCCAATGACTCCCTCATTGATATCCGGTCTTGGCGAATCCAATTCATTGACAGGTGAATGACTTTAGGAAAGGTTAGAAAGACACCTATAAGTCAGGTCTTGTTTGCTAATGACGCCAATGAGAGATATCTGCGCATCACAATTTAAACATACGACTTTCTTACGAAACCGACAACGGTGCCATAAATTTCAACGTCTATAACAGTTTCAGGAAGTAAATAAAATACAACACGCATTAAATTTGTGAGAAAGTTGCAGAATTATTTCCTGTCACACTGTTAAATTAATAAAATAACTAAGTGTATAAAGGACAATTCAGCGATGAAAATTTTGTTAATATTATTTCGTTATTTTATTAATTTATATTATAATATAATTATGGTGCCACCAACAATCCAACAGTTGTACGACAATGCTGCGTGCCAAGTATTCCACACAAAAGGGAAACTCACAGAATAATTCGAAGAAGTAAAGACGGCAGTAAGACAAGCTGGCTGCCTACTATCTCCAATGATTTTCCTGATTGTGGTAGACTGAATAGTGCGACAGACAGCGGGCGACGAGGAGACAGGCATAAAATGGACCCACACAAAGAAAACCTGGAGGACCTGGACTTCGCCGATGATACATGTCTGATTTCCCACAAACTGTAAGATGTGCAAGTAAAAGCAACAAGTTGGGAGAATAAGCATCCAGAAAAGATGGGACTTCAGGTGAACATATAGAAAACAGAGGCGATGAAGATTCTTCGCCAACAGCAACAACAACATATAAAAATCAGGATAAATGGGAGAAATCTGAAAGAAGCAGGCTGCGGATTTTCAACTCCAATGTGAAGTCAGTGCTACTTACTATACGGATCAGAGACTTGTTGCCGTGTCACGAAGGGCACTTCGAACAAACTACACACCTTCATCAACAGCTCTCCTCACTCAATACTAATCAAGACCAGATAACTGGCCAGAGAAGATCAGCAACAGGGATCTCTGACAATGAACCCGCCAACCCAGCAGGAACTGATTGTGCAACAAACAAGCAGGAAGAAATGGAGGTGGATTGGGTTGGCCATACTCTGAGAAAACCATCAAGTGGCATCACACAATGGGCTATCATTCGAGTATAACCCGAACTGAAGGCCGTGAGTTAGTTGGTAGTCAGTGTGAGGGTGACATGGAGGAGATCGTGCGAAGAGGAGGTGAAAGCATGTGGAGTGAGATGGAGCCAGGTGAAAACGTTGTCGGAGAACCGAACGCAATGGATACGTGCGACTGAAACCCTATGTTCCTCTAGGAACTAAAAGAAGCAATAATAATATTATTACAAATAATATAATTATATTTAATATTTAATAATTATCATATAATTTTGAATTATTATTTTATTATATCTATATAGACATTTATTGATTAATATCTCAGTAGATGTTAATAATGCCAGGCTTGCTTCCACTAACCTGAGGCCTGTACACAGCCAGTGAGACACGTACTAGATATGCGTTTATTTTATCCATCTCCACGGAATATGACCTGTGGGGAAAGGACTTTTCTGTACGTTCTGATTAATAATTCATCCTAAGCTAACAGTCTTATTATTATTCCCTTGGATTCCCAGTGGAACAAAGGGCTTCAGCAACACATCTCCACTTTCTTCTATTCTCTGCCATCCTCTTCAGATAGCCAACGCCGCGATCACACATAATCTCTCATCTCCTCCTCCTCCTCCACACGATCTCCTCCATGTCATCCTCGTACCAACAACACAGTCGTCGCTTCCGAATAGGATTCTACTCGAGTAATCACCTTCATTGAGCCCAATGTCATTCGACGGCCTCCTCAGTGTATGCCTAATCCGTCTCCATTTACTTCTGCATATCTGTTGAGCGGTCGGAACATGGTTGCTTTATTTTCAGCCAAACTTTCTTATTGCTAATTGTTTCTGGCCAGCTGTCCATTCGGTATTCACTGAGGAGCCATCAAAGTCGGCAGTTGTTGATAAATGTTTGCGTAGCCTGTTTGAAATCCTTTTCGTGACACGGCGGTCAAGTTTCTGACCCATGTAGAAGAAATGACTCAATTTACATTGGTGCTAAAAGTCCGTATCTTGTTGTTTATGCTGAAGAGAAGTGCAGGAGATTTCCAAACTGGTTTCAGGTTGACGAACGCGTGTGTATCTAGTCTTCATCCTTTCCAGCTGCCTGTGGTTGCAACGATGCATGCTTCCTAGATAGGTGAAGGCAGGAAGTAACCTTTGTGTAATCTCTCCCGTTGGTGGTGTTTGGTGCTGGCTGTTGTTAATGTTTGCTGGTTGGTTGGCTATCTACACCACCTACGTCTTCGCTATGTTCATCTGGAATGCTGTCTTCACTGTCTGCTTCTTCAATCAGCTTGTTGGTTCTCCCTTACAAGTCTTCGAGTTTGTGTGACATTAAACACAAATGATCCCGCACCAAATCCACATCTTCTAGAATCTTCTTATCGGTGGTCCAGTGTATTCCTATCTAGTCGCTCCCCATAGTCTGTCGCTTAATCCAGCCTACCAGAATGAGGAATATCATCGGTGATAATAAATAGCCAGCCTTGTCTCACTCCTGTATTCACTTCGAAAGCCTCACTGAGCTAACAGTCTTACATATATTTGTATAATTTCACTCGTATGTTTTTTTCTAAAACGTTAAAAGCTTTTTACTCTACAAAAATATAATGGCAGTTTTCACATTTAATAAATCTCTGTCTTTAACTTATTCAAATGCTACGCCTTACATTTGTTTGAAATTGCTTCCGTTAAATGTTCAATGCATTAAATACTTCTTTTGTTCACATGCATAGATTACAATTATTAATCTTCTTTTAGTGAAAGATTAATACTAGTATTAGTTGTGTGGTATTTTAGAAAAATAAATTGAGTGTCAAATACTAGACACTCTAAAATGTTATTCGCATAACGTCAATTTATTTGAAAAGGAAAATTTATTGAAATTACATAATAACGAAAAAGATTACATATTCCTCAGTTACCTTCGAGTTTTTGTATATGTTTTATGCTATTATGACTACTGGAAATTAACTGGATAAGTGTTAACTGACAGAAATTTTACGAGGTCACCTTGTAATCTGAAAGTCCTGTGTTTCATTCTCGGTAGGATCATGCGTGTGTACTGTTGAAGCATCCCAAACTACGACGACACAGCTGTGCAATACTTCTTGATTTTCACTGGTTGTCTAACTGGAATCCATTCGTGATCATACTTGAAACTGGATACGTAAGGCAACTAAGTGATGTCCTCAATTTTATCCACCCCAAAAATCATCTTAACTCTGGTTTATAGTTGACCCCAAATATTCATCAACCTTATTCAACAGCTGTACGACAACGGCACATGTCAAGTGATTCATAACGGAAAACTCACCAAGGCGTTTGGAGTAAACACAGGAGTCAGACAAGGGTGCTTATTATCACCAATTATATTCCTAATTGTGGTGAACTGGATTATGCGTCAGACAGTGGTAAACGAGAAGACAGGGATATCCTGAACCGACGTGAAGAACCTAGAAGACCTGGATTTTGCGCGTGGGTGATTTATGTTTGATGTCACACAAAATCGAGGAATAACAAGCGAAAACCGACAAACTGGTCTAAGAAGCAGCAAAGACAGGACTGCAGGTGAACATAGACAAGACGGAGGTGATCAAAATAACCAACCAACAACAACAACAGCAGCAACATCCAGTGCCAATCACCATCAACGGGAAGGATTTGAAAGAGGGTACTTCATTCACTTATCTAGGGAGGTAGCATTGTCTCAACTACAGGAGGAACGGACGAGGATGTCAAATCGAGAATAGGGAAGGCGAGAAACACATTCATCAACCTGAAACCAATCTGGAAATCTTCGTCACTCAGCAACACTCAACAACAAAATTCGGATTTTCAATACAAACGTCAAGTCAGTCAGTTCTTCTATACGGATCAGAAACTTGGCGACGGGTCACAAAGAATATTTCCAACAGCCTGTTGCAGACCTTTATCAACAGCTGTCTTCGTTCTATACTGAAGATCAGATGGCCGGAAAGAATCACCAATAAGAAACTATGGGAACGAACAAAACAAGAACCAATCGCTCAACAAATATGCAGGAGAAAGTGGAGATGGATTGGACACTCGCTGATGAGGCCACTTGGTGACATCGCACGTCAGGCCATCGCTCGAGTGGAACCCGAAAGGGAAGCGGTGAGTAGTGGGACGTCCAAGGGTGACATGGAGGAGATCGTGTGAAGAGGAGCTGAAACAGTAGGGACTAACATGGATGCAGGTGAAAAGTACAGCAAAAGACAGAAGCAAGTGGAGACGTGTAGTTGAAGCCCTATGTACCACTAGAAACGCAAGAAAACAATAATAATATCATCTTAACAGGTGTGGACAGTGTTTCATTTTAATCCTTTACGTTTTCAGTGGAACATAGGGCACCTTCAAGCTAAAGGCTTGAAGTTTCAGTAGCAGTGGTGTTTGTTTTTATGGGATGGGGTTGCTAGCCTCATGTCCAGCCCAACCTTCCCTCTTTACCAGTATTATTACTAGGTTAGCGAGGTTTGGAGTGCCTTATGGACCCGAGATCGAATCCTGAACCACATGAGGCGTGGTTCGCAAGCATTCTACCGCTGTGCCACCAACGTACCTCAGTGCGGACAACATTCAGTTGGTTTTCGTGAACTCGTAGTGTCTATAGAGCCAGCGAAATGTTAAAACCTACTGCCCAGCATTCTATTTTCTGTAGTTAGTGCAGAGATCTACAGAACTTTGCATTTGCGACAAGATTCAAATTTCCACAAATAATCACCACGGAATCCTCCGAAGAAGTGAAGACCGGAGTAACACAATGATTTTCCTGATTGCGGTAGACTGGATAATCCGACAGACAGAGATGGGCAACAAGGAGAGAGGCACAAAATGGATCCACACAAAAAAATTGCAGGATCTGGATTTTCCCGATGATATGTATACGACTGATTTCCTGCGAATTGGAAGATATGCAAGTGAAAAGCGACAAGTTGGTGGTAGAAGAAGCACTAAAAATAAGATTTCAGGTGGACGTAGAGAAAACAGAGGTGATGAAGATTCCTCGCCAACAGCAATGGTGACAGCAACAACTACAGACAACAATCAGCATAAACAGGAGAAATCTGAAAGACGCAACCTCCTTTACCTACCTACCAACCTGCCTAGCTACCTGTGAAGCATCGTTTCAACTACAGGCGGAAACGATGAGGATGTCAAAGCAAGAATCGGAAAAGCAAAACAAGCTTTCATTACTCTCAAGTTTGTATGGAGGGGAACAGCATTCAGCATGAAAAATAAGATCAGCATTTTCAACTATAATGGGAAATCAGTGCCACCTGCTATACAGATCAGAGAATTAGCTCCGCGTCACGAAGGCCACTTCGAACAAACTACAAACCTTCATCAACAGCTGTCTTCTCTCAATACTCAAGATCAGATGGCCGGCTAGAAAAGATCAGCAACAGGGATCTCTGGGAGCGAACCAACCAGGAACCGATATTACAGCAAATAAGCAGGAATAAATTAAGGTGAATTGGCCACACTCTGAGGAAACCATCAAGTGACACCACTAGACAAGCCACTGCTCGAGTGGAACCCGAAAGAGAAGCGGCGAGTTGGTCGTCAGTGCAAGGGTGACTTGGAGGAGGTCATGTGAAGAGGGGATGATGAAAGCATGTGGGCAGATATGGAGCCAGGTGAAGACTCTAGCAGAGAACCGAACTCAATGGAGACGCACGGCTGAAGCCCTATGTTCCTCTAGGAATTAAAGGAAATAACAATAATAATAAAAATAATCAGAAGTCAGCGAATGGCTTTATATAGTTAAGAAATATTGTGTATCTTCAAAAACACTTCCAGCAGACTACTTCAGTCTTTCATCGATACCTGCCCATTAGGCTGGTCACTGAAGATCTCATTTCCGGCAGGGAATGATAAGCAGCAAAGAATTTTGACAGACAATTAACCCAGCAAATATGCAAGAAGAAATGGAGATGAGCTGGATAATCTCTGAAGAGATCGTTAAGCAACATCACTCAACTCATATGGAAAACAACGAGTTTAGTGTGTGTCTAAGTGTGACATCGAGATCTTATGAAGAAGAAATACAAACGGGAAATCAATCGGTCAATTTAATTGAATTTTAGATTTTCCCGTCGATTGATTGGACCGAAGTGCTCGGTCTCAGGTTGACATGTCGGCTTCTTGTGCAGACCCTGAGTTCGAGCCTCGGTGGGAACATCATCACTCACTGAGAAATGCAGGTACATCCAGTGACGAGTCCCAAATAGGACGAAATGTGCATCATGTATTCCAATGCTAGTCACCATCCACTAATTAAATACAAATCAATGAGTCAGGTTAAAGAAAAGACTTTAGAGATTAGAAAACAATGAAGATGTGCTGTTGAGGGCATATGTTCCATTTGGAGGAATAAGTGACATTGTATTATTTATTACTATTATCATTATTACTATTGTTTCCTTTAGTGCCTAGAGGAACATAGGATTTCACCCACACGTCTCCATTGCGTTCTGTTCTCTGCCAACGATTTCACCCACCTCCACGTCAGCCCAAACGCTCTCATCTCCTATTCACTTGACCTCCTCCATGTTACCATCGCACTGACGACCAACTCACCACTTCCCGTTCGGGTTCCACTCGAGCGATGGCCTGGCATGTGATGTCACATGATGGTTTTCTCAGAATATGGCCAACCTCCATATTTGTTGCACAATTGCTTCCTACTACGTTGGTTCGTTCACTTCCAGAGATCCCTCCCTGTTGCTGACTTTTTCTGGCCCGCTATCTGATTGAGCGAAGACAGCTGTTGATGAAGGTCTGTAGTTTGTTCCAAGTGTCCTTTGTGACGTGATGCCAAGTCTCTGGTCAACACAACAAGTAGCAATGACCTCACATTGGAGTTGAAAATCTGCATCTTATTTTTCATGCTCACTGCTGAGTGTTGATCTCCGCAGACTTGAGAGTAATGAAGGGTTGCCTTGCTTTCCCTATCACCGTTTTGATATGCTCATCAATTCCATCCGACTGTATTTGAAACGATGCTCCCCAGGTAGGTAGGTAGGTAGGTGAATGAGGTTGTTTCTTTCAGATTTCTCCCATTTATGCTAGCAGACTGTTGTCTGATGTTGTTGCTGTTGCTATTGCTGTCGGCCAGGAATCATCATTACCTCTATTTTCTCTATGTTCACCTGAAGTCTTATTTTCTCTGGATGCTTCTTCTATCGCCAACTTCTTCCAGTTTGTGGGAAAATGATATTGTAATAAACTTTTTATTTTATTATACTTCACAGTTAAGAAACATGAAAAGGAAAATTTTTTCTTGAATTCTGATGAATAGTTCGTACTAGACTGACAGATTTACATAAAATCTAAAAGCTTCCCCTTTCTCGTTTTTTATAAAGCTTTGAAAGCATTCACTTTAAATAACTTTAATGGTAATTTGTGCATATGAATATACTTCTTTAACTAGTTTGAATGGTGCGCTTTACATTTCGTTCAATATCCAATGTGTTAAACACACCATTTTTTTCGGTTCTACGCATTATAATTAATAACATTCTTCTCGTAGAAAATTAATAGTTTTATTAAGTGAATATGACCTTTAGAAGTGTAATGAATGTCAAATACTAGACACCATAAAATATCATTTTCATAATGTCCGTTTGTTTGAAACGGTAAAATTTTTAAAAATTACTTAATCACAAAAAGGCTATACATTTCTTATTTAACGTCTAGTTTTTGTATGTATCATACAGCTACTGAAAATGAACTGAGAAAGTGTTGATTTGTAAGAATTTCACTGATTTCAGTTTTCATCACGAATCCGCTTTTTATCCGCATGGTTCATGGTTTAATCTGTGGTAGATCCATGGCTGCCTGCTGATGAAGTGTCCCAAACAAGGACGAAACATCTTTCCAATGTTTGCTAGAGGTTTTAAACGATTTCGCCTACTGAAATCGGTTTTTCATTAAAATTAAAATTTGATAAATCTGTCAGTTACTTCATTCATTCAAAAGAACAGTCTCAAATCAGTTGATGGAAAAAGGGTTTCATAAGACTTCGTTAAAACTGTCTCCGTGCTTATTATATTTGAGTCATATGAAAAAGAGAAGACATTCAGTGAAGAGACTCTTTTCGCCGGCGACTTCATTCACATAGCTGTACAACCGCGTTTAAATACATGATTATTTGTGTGTGTGTGTGTGTTACAGTGAAAACAAGACTCTGAGAGAGCATAGAGAAGACGGAGGTGATGTAGATAGACAACCATCCAACGAACAGCAACAACAACAAGCAGCACCACCAATCACCATCAAATGGAGAGATTTGACAGAGGCGACCTCGTTCACTTATCTAGGAAACATCGTTTCAACTACAGGTGGAACGGATGAAGATGTCAAAGCTAGCCAGAATTGGAAAGGCAAGATACACCTTCATCAACCTGAAACCAGTTTGGAAATCTTCTGCACTTCACTCAGCCAGCATAAGGAGCAAGAATCGGATTTTCAACAGAGATGTGAAGCCATTCAGTCATTTCTTGTATACGGGTCAGAAACTTGACCAGCATGTAACGAAAACGATTGCCAGAAGGTTGCGGAGTTTTATGAACAGCTGCCTTCGCTAGCTCCATAGTAAAGATCAAATGGCCGACCAGAAATAATTAGCAATAAGCAACTCTGATATAAGAATAAAACTTGTGTACTGTGGTAGAGTACAATTCAAGGTACTCACACCCTTGATATGATTATGAGCAATAAATTGTCCTCAGAACGTCATCAGTAAGTATCACTGTGTAACACTGTGAGACCTTATCAAAATAAATTTTACCCATAATGGAAAAAGCAACTCTAGCGGAGAGCAAACCAACAGGTGTGAGCCTATTGCTCAATAAATATGCAGGAAAAAATGGAGATGGATTGGGCATATGCTGAGGAAGGAGGTCGTCGAATGACATAGCGCTCAATCCAGGGGATTGCTCGAGTAGAATTCCAATGGAAAGCGACGAGTGTGTCGTCGGTGCGAGGCTGACATGGAGGAGATTATGAGAAGTAGAGGTAATGACAGTTTATGGGCAATCGTGGACTTCGATGAAGAGGACAGGAGAATATGAAACACAGTGGAGATGTGTTGTTGAAGCCCCATGTTCCGCTCAGAATCCGATAGAATAATAATTAATAATTCCCAGCAATTTCTCTCCATTATTTCTCCCATTTGTGGTATTATTTTTAATTTTCATTATTATAATTATTTAATGTTTTTCGCTTATTTTCAGCCTATTCAAATCCTCATTATGCCAAATCAATGAATTATTATAAGAATAAGTATTATGAAAGTGAACAGGAAACCTTCGACAGTCCAATCGATAAAAGTATGGAATACTCAGAAAATCATGGTGAGTCGATGCGTATTTCTTTTCCGAATAGAATAAATTTCTGACTAATTACTTTCATTTATTTATTCAGTATATATTCAGTATTGAAACTAAGCTTAATGCAAAATACCTCGGTCTAGTTCAATCTTCTCACCTTACTTTAACATCTGATATCCTAACGATTTCTAAGAAAGTGTTCTGTCTAACCTACTACATTAAGAAACTAAGACAATCTGGAATCACCCAACCTCTACTTTCAAAATTTGTCAACTATTGTATCTTACCTATTCTACTTTACTGCTCCCCGTTAGTCTTTCCTGGGCTACTGAAAAATGAATACACCATCCTGAGAAGGATGTTGAAGGTAGTTAGTAGGACTAATGGTGTTAATCTCAGTCAGCTCGTCACTACATAAGTTGAAAGGCATCTGGAAACAAGCGAAAAATGGTCTAAAACCATACTCTCCAACCCCCAAAAACCCCCTCTATTCCCAACTCTCGCCTTGTATCTCATCAAGTAGAACCAGAAATCAGTATAAAATAATCCATGCTCGTACAACCAAAAACAGGTACTCGACGATACCATACTTGGCCCGTGTTCTAAGTGACAGAGACAATGTTAAGCGTGAAACCTATGACTTGCTTTGTTGTTAATAATCATAATTTTAGGCTCTTTTATTCCTCTCTTATTTTGTATTCTACAGTGAACTCCTTCTTAAACATACTTAGCTGCTTAAATTATTAACATTGGCTTACTTTTTTTTACTTTATTCTATTCCTTCTTTTGTGTATCTACTGGTTCCGACTATATTAGCACTATGAGTATTACAAAATTGTCCTGTCATTAACCATCATGTAATTATTAGTTTTGTGGTTGTTGTTTTTGTTTGTTCGGTAATATTAACTGACAATCTTGGTTGTGAACGCCACTATCACTTTCTTAAAATTTTGGCATTTTGCAAACGTGTGCCCATTCAAACAGCATAAATGTCGTCGATGCCATACTGTCGGTCACAAAGATGGCTACTGCAAACGCAACAACCGACACAGACGGCGCAACAAGCTCAAGTCTTTGGGTGTTACTGCCACATATCATATTAGTACTCCAGCACCTCGCAAATATATCAATCTGACGATTAATACACGGCCGGCACGCCTACAAATCGACACAGCATCCGATATTACAATAATATCAAAGAAATTATGGCAGAAGTTGGGATGCCCTGCCATAGAGAAGACAAATCAGATAGCAATTAGTGCATGTGGTGGAAGACTTCGATTGAATGGAGAAATTAAATGCAACGTTGGTTTTCGCGATAGTCATTTCGTCGGCACATGCTACATCAATAATTCAAACCTTGACCTCTTGGGTTTAGACTGCTTCGAGAAGCTGCACCTGTCAGAGATTCCGTTAAGCAGTGTATGCCAGAAGATTGAAAGTATTGAGCCCTCAACAAGAAAACCAGAAATCAGAGACAGATATATTAGACCTAAGCCCATTAGAAAGAATGACGTAATTAATGAAACACCAACTTCGAATCGTCACAGTGAGTATGGCTGCGCCAAAAGTGCTTCGATGTCTGGTAGCAACAAAGTAGAAACTGTTAGCTCCAGTAAGAGAGGCTCTGCTCAAAAACTGAAAGTGATGTCTGTCATGGCAGCCAAAGATCCGCCGCGGGAGACACCGAGAGCATGGCCCACGTCAAAACCATGGTCCCGCCTACATGTGGATTTTGCTGGGCCGATAGAAGGTATATACTACTTGGTTCTCGTGGACTCTTACTCAAAATGGCCGGAGGTAGTACAAGTGACACCACCTTCCAGCAGCAGAACAGTATCAGTCCTGGAAAAGATCTTCGCATGTCACGGTATACCAGAAATCATCGTATCTGACAATGGCAGTCAGTTCACCTCACAAGCGTTCCAGGAATTTTGCAAGAGAAACGGTATACAACACGTGCGGACGCCACCTTATCACCCTCAATCCAACGGTCAGGCAGAAAGATTTGTCGACACCTTCAAACGAGCCTTGTTGAAAGCAGGGGGAGGGGCGAAACCGGAAGCAATACAAAACTTTCTTTTTGTATACCGAACTACACCACTGGCAGAACAGAAGAAAAGCCCTGCAGAACTTCTAATGGGTCGAATGCTACGAACTCATCACCACTCCATGTTACCATCTTCGTCACATCAACGAAGAAATAGTGTGACGTATTACCGCAAGGGTGATGCTGTCTATGTGCGCGATTATCGACCGAGGAACAGAAAATGGGCCATAGGCTTGATAGAACGTCGACATGGAACTCTAATGTACAAGGTTAAAGTTGGGGATGAATGGTGGATTAGACATAAAAATCAGATACGACGTCGATATACTACATCCCAAGAACCTAAATTGCCACTGGAATTACTACTGGAAACCTTCAAAATACCACCAGTCAAATCAGAAGCAAAACAAGAGATGCTACCCAGCTGACGATCCCAGCGCAAACGAACACAAACAGTTCATTTCCAAATCGACCCCAAGGAAAAAAGATACTAAACTGTTTGCAAGATTCCTTTTAAAAGGGGGAGGTAATATATACGCAGGTGAATCATTAATATTCATTATTTATTCCACACACTAGCATAATCATTGATTTCACGCATCTGCGTGATTATTGATTTAAATTACTGAATTCCCAGGGTTTGTTAATATTTTTAAAATGTGACATTGATTTTTCTAATTGTATAAATACGGAGTTGTTGTTTAACATTTTCGACTGTTGTTTGAGACAGTAAAAGCTCTCATATCAACGTCCAGTCTTCTCTTTTATTTGTCTTGCGTGCCCGGCGGTATTATTGTTGTTGTTGTTGACGTGCGATTAGGACAGATTAGCCAGCGCATTAGTTAGATTCGCTCGTAGTCTACAAGGTCCTCATATTCACATACATAACAAATATGCAGGATTACTCACACTACCACTACAAACACTGCATTAGAGTTGACAATAAAAAACAACCGTGAAATGTTATTTTATGATTGTTTAGTGTTGTTCAATCAAATTAACTGATCCTCCTGGCGATAAACATTCTTAAATATCATTTCATAACTTCTTGTATGACTAAAGCTTTACTGTCATCGCACAAAAACATATCATAGCTTTCACTACCCAATACTGAGATATTATTTATTATGTTGTTTATTTTCCTTTCTACTTCTTGGTATTTTTTTGCATTTTTAAATTATTTTTGTTTTTGTTGTTGTTGTTTTTATATTTATTTTCTGAAATACTCCTTTTAAATGTTTGATAAAATTAGATGCAAATATTGGAGATATGTGCTGAAAATTCCACACTGTACCACTAGTACTGTTTCTGAAATAAAGCAATATTATTATTATTAACAATAATAATATGCTTAATTCTAAAACAGTACTGACGATACAGTGTGGAATTTTATAGCATTTGATACAATATTGCATCTGATTTAGCTTTTTAAGTGTGTGGTAGGTAACTCAAAGTTCCTCTTACCAACTGTAATTATCAGTGGAATCCTGAACTCACATTTCGTCCTAAACAGGACTCGTCAATTGGATCTACCTGCTCCACAGTCACTTCTGCGAAGTTCCTACTGAGAATTGTGGAAATGATAGCTACTATGCCTGGGTCTTAGTAGAGGAAACAGTGAAATGACGATATCCTTCTGTAGCCCTGTATTCCAGTCGGAATCCACGGGAATTAACGGTGATAATGGTGTCTCCTACTGTGCACAAATATACGTCTTACCTGGACTCCAGTGGTACAGGCGTTTGCAATCCCAAGAACTGTTCATTCTTACATTGCTTACTTATGACTACAAAGGCTTATATATGCGTCCAAACGAAGTTCACTTTTAACATTTTGAAAAAACTTGAGTGTTGGGTACATGATATTCATTATAATAAAGATTGTCTTTTTGTATTTCCCAATGAATGAAAAACAAGACGATATTGTTGTGGCTTTTACTAACGTTTCGCTATTTAATGCTACTGCTAATAGCTTTATCAAAGTAGTATTATTAAACCAGAATTTAAGAAATCCACTCAGTTTATATATATAACAATTTAATCATCGTTACTCAGCATGGGGTCATTTTTGCGTTGTCAAATTGGCCAAATGGTAAAGAAGTCTTGACCATTGAGATCCATTGAATTAAATTTCAGGATGGATCTTCTACCGACGACATTGGTTGGGGTCGCGCTAAATCACGAATTGGTAAAAGTCAGAATTCATGCACTGGCCATTGAGAAGTCGGGTCCCAGTGGCTGAATGGTATACGAGCCAGCTCACCAGTAAACGGAACGTCCTGGGTTCGAACCCTGATGGTAGGTGGGTACTGGCGTTGATTCCAAAGCTAGTATGGAACAGCTTTCCAGTACTCTTTGGTTGTTTTAAGTGATTCTTTAGCTGATATCAATGCGTGATCAACTCATAAAAGGATAAAAAGACCAGGTGTACATTTGTGGATTTAATAAGTGTGTAAAATTATCAAAGCAGCATGTGTTTAGGTAATGGAATTGCTTATCACATTCGTGATGATTTTGTCACTTCATGGGGAAAGGAGTGTTGTAACCAGGTCAAATCCTGTTATAGTCCACCATTCCTATTTAACAGACAATTTGGATTCCAATTCATTTGAAGTGCTTCTCATTGATTATTTTTTTCTATTATTGTTCCCTTGGGTTCCTAGTGGAACATAAGGCTTCAAGTGCACGTCCCACTTGCTTCTGTCTTCTGCTGTACTTTTCACCTGCATCCATGTTTGTCCATACTGTTTCAGCTCCTCTTCACACAGTCTCCTCCATGTCACCCTTGAACATCCCACCCGCCACTTCCCTTTCGGGTTCCACTTGAGGGCCTGACGCCCGATGTCACCCAGCGGCCTCCTCAGCTCAGCGAGTGTCCAATCCATCTCCACTTTCTCCTGCATATTTGTTGGGCGATTGGTTCTTGTTTTGTTTGTTCCCATAGTTTCTTGTTGGTGATTCTTTCCGGCCATCGG